GTATTTATTCTGTTTAAGTCGTTTCACAGATGTTTGCCAGCAATTATTTTTTTGTTTTAGTTTTCATTTTTATTTATTCTTAAATTTTTTGTCACTTGTTTCAGTGTGTTTTTGACCCCTGTTAAAGAAAATTTTGAAAATCAACACTTGTTTTCAATATATAGGCTTGTTTATTATATTTACAAAGGACTGATGCACTTTTCTGCTTGTAACACAAGATTCTTTTCAGACATTTCATCAGTTGTGTGAGCAGCCAGGTGTGGTTGAAGAGCACTACCTCTCCAAAATGTCTTAAAGCTTCTTAGAAGGTGTTACTTGTCAAACAAGATTTTAGATTTGTCTTTTTGTTAACATTGCTTCCTTTACTTATAGAGTTCTTATATTTGCTATTTCTGAACTCTGCAAATGGAGGATTCTTGTTTTAAAACCTACATTCTTATGAGTCTGTTGCTGGGTCTATGAATATTTTTATCTTATATCCTTAGTTTTGGGGAGCTTTGGGAAACCAATTATGTTTTGCACATTATTTACTAGTCTTTTTCTTTTTTACATTTTGGTCAGTGGTCTTTTTTTTWAACAAAGACTTTATGAGCAACAGTTTTAAAAATCTAATCAATCTAACCAGATCTGTATGTTTGTTTGTTTTTTTCCTTTTTGATAGAAAATGTCCCTGCAGAGCTGCGTAACCCTTTCTACTGTGACCAGTATGAACAGGAGCATCTTAAACCTCCAGTCACACGCCTTCTTCAATCCTCAGAGCTATACTGTCGCACCTACGGCATACTATTTGGAGCTGAAGCACAGCCCAAAGACAATGCTGCCCTGCTTCAGCTCCTCACTCAGAGAGGCATAGTCGCCAAAGACCAGGAGGCAACAGTGACAGATGCAGACCTTCGACATATGCCCATCAAAATGGTAATGTTTGAGTCTAACTGTATTTAAGCATTTTTTTTAACATGCACTAAGATTTTTTTTCAAGATGAAAACAATTCAAATAAAAGCCACTGACCTCACCTCAAAGGTACACATTTAACCAACCATGTTTTCATAAATATAAACTCMTATTTAATATCACCTCACCTCTTCACCTACCTCACTGTCCTCCAACTTGAAATTCATGACGTTCATACTTAAATTTTAAAAACCGTAGTAAAGAATAGCTGGTCATGGTTCATCAAGATTTTTTACCATCGATTTATCCACTGGGATCAGATTCTCTTTATGTCCAGGGAGCTGTATATACAGGGGCATGTTTATGCTTTGATTGCAGGGATTAAAGGACATCAAAAAGACCCCTACTCATTCARCCCTTCCCCCACCATTTTCCCAACTGATCTCAGGATGAGTGGTTCCAGCTGCAAAGAAAAGGGCCTGACTACTTTACTTTCAGGGTGTGAGAGGGAGACGAGTCTGTCTACAATAGATGATTCGGATCAAAACAATGGCTGAACGGTTCTAGTGAAACTTGAGAGGCTGTGTTGAGTGAATACACCTAGCTGGCTCAGTGAGTTAARTCAAGAGAAACAGGTTTGTCTTCTTGGCCCTTCACAAAAGGTTTTGTATGTTTTCGTATTTCTTGGATCACTTTATTGTTCCAATAAAGATGTCTCCAAAYGTGGAATTGTATAAAATTGAAAAGAGGTAATTTTACATCTGATGTGCAAAAGAAAAAAAAAACTGCAGTGCTCAAGCTGCCCAGATCCATGCACATATAAATAACGGTAGCTTTATCTGTAGGCTGTTTTTGAAAGATGGTGCCTCCTCAGGGATTTGTTGAAAATGGTGTTGTCAGTCATTACTCCAATGCAGCTTTTAGCAAAAGCTCTGCAGCTGGTAGTACTGTGCTGCTGAACTAGTATTGTGATGATGTTCTAACTTTTGAGTTTGAAAACTTGGATAGTCGCTGCTCTTGTTTATCTAAAACAATTCAAGAAGAGAGTTGAAACCATTTGCCAACAAGGATTTATGTTTCTATTATTTTACCTTAGCTGGATTGTGTGTTAAACTTCAGGCCATGGCACATCTTAGTTTTAAACCCTGTTTAATAAACTCATATTTGGCTGTTTCAGTCAATGCTGTATTTTGCAGTTTGTTGCTTTTGTGTATGATCCTTCCAGTCACTGACAGCTCTTGGAGTTTGTCTGCCAGGGACTGGCATCAAAGCTTGTGTGGCAAGCAAAGAAATTGGGTCATGCTGCAGCATTACAAGGATGGAGCATCAGTGTGCGCCCTGGCCAGTWAAAGAGCTTTGCAGTAGCAGCAGTCTGCTACAGGGCCGATGTTTATTAAAGATTACCTTTTTTTGAAGCTAAAGRATACTATTATAGTGCACTATGGTCATGCTTTTTTACCAACAGGTGAACACTGTCCCCATGTGATCTGCTCTACAATATTTAAGTGTTTTGTTTGTGGAACACAAACCTTGTACCATAATTGCTGTTTAATAAGTATTGCAAAATTGGGTTGATGCTTAAATGCAGATACATCAGAAAACTACAACCCTTAATATGCCAGTGATGTGTGTACTGTGTGAGATATTTGTGATCTGTTATTAGAAAATTATAAAAAAAAATTAAATTCAAATCAGAACAAATACAGAGGCATGGTCGTCCTTATACATAAAAAATATTGTTTCCATTGGTCACGTGGGGTTATTTAGTTGTAGTCATAGATTTATTTATTGATGTTGTGGATTTTGTATCTTGTCTTTCTGGCAGAGGCCCAACCCCCCATCACTCCTCAGATTGAGGGTAAAAGATCTTTGAAGATTAGACATAATCTAGTATCCAGACTGAACGCCATCTTCCATGATTGGTTGACATGCTAAAGAAGACGTGACTCACCGTGCACCCCAACGTGTCTCAAATTAAATGTATGATTGCAGCAGTTTTCACACGAATACTGTTCTGTTATGCTTCAAGAAAAAGGAAAGCATAAGCATTATGTAGACTTKGCTTTTCTTATAATTTTCTCAATGAAACTGAACAGGTCAAATGCTCATGTGTACTGTGAAATAGTTTAGTAGCAGTTTGTGATTTGTTATTTAACAGCATTTCTGTTGTCAGCTTAGTTTGCGATGCCTATGAACCTATTTGTTCAGGTTTTTTGTTAACATAGTCATGGATGGTTGAAACAAAATGCAAGTGTCACACCTTGAGYAGCTTGTGAGAAAAGAATCTATGATTGCACTAAAAATAGGGTTAAATATTGTTTTTTGTTTTAACAAAAAGGTTGTAATGTAGCTAACCTTCCTGGTCTCCTGTTGTTTCTTGGAATGGCAGTGACACTGTCTTAAATTGTAATGCTGTCGTGGCAAGTTTCTGGGCAAGCTAGCACCATTCTAGAGCTTATCTGAAGTGGCAGACTATAACATCATCCTGCACCATTACTTTTGCCTTTGCTGATTGAAACGWCTTTATTCATGATAACTGAACAGTATTGTAAACAAATTGAGTGTAACACGTAACTGTGCTGCTTTTTGTTGTTGTTGTTGTTGGGTTTTTTTTAAACATACGGTTCAATTCCATATGAGTATTAACCTCCTTTTCAAAATCCTTTGCTGGGCCCCTGGCCTGCTTGATCCCCCTGTTTGTCTACCCATCAACAGGCACAAGGCTGGGTAGGGGGATGGGGTTAAATCATATTTCAGACTTAATCAGATTTTACCCCCATAATAATCCTGTGTAATGATCAACAAGATGAWTCAACAAGCCTTTGCTAACTTTTTTAATTAAATGTTGATGTAGTTATGCATGCGGCTTTCCAACAAAAGGTCATCGACATTTTATGTTCAAGGGGTCAATTGATGAAATGTTTTTTACTCGGAGATATCAGCGCTGGATGTTTCGGAGCTGAGAGCCGGGGCTAAGCCAGGAGCACAGATCAGTGCTGCAGTCGGGCTTGTTCTGAGGTGCATTGTGGGTCAGCTGGCTGGTTGTTATGGTGATCTGGCAGGATCAGAGCTGTGTGTTCGAGTGGCTCCTCTCTGTACACTCATTAGAGAGCCTTGTGATTTAGCTTAGCAAGCTCCCCTGGGTCTGCAGTGGGAAATGTACTGGTGACTACTCATTCCCTTTTTCCTTTGGCTTTTTTTTATATTTTGTTTTGTTTTGAATCTCTCTGTACTCTCACCTATGACTTTACAGCATGACAGCAGAGGAGTTGGTCACACTTTTTTTTAAAGGTCTGCTATACATTTCTGTTTGTCATCCCAGTTTTGGACACATTATTAAAGAAGTTGCAACACTTAACTAAACACAAAAATGTGTTGCCACCTTAATATAGTTATAAGCACACTTATTAATGTTTTTACTGAAAGATTTTTGAACAAATTGTTGAAGCTGATTTTGATATGATTCTCATTGCTCTGTATATGTTTTACGTTTAGATAGAATACTACATATCACATGACAATAACTGACAAATAACAAAAAGAATGACAGGCAGTCAATTTATATTAGATTTTTTTTCTATAAAAGTCCTAGCTTGTAATGTAGTATATACTATTTTTCAAGTTCTTTATGTGTTCTTGAATCAGGATAYGTGTTCCAAATACATTTCATTAGAAAAAGCAAATCTCATCTCAACATGCTAGTAGACATCTTTAATTTCATGACATTATTTGAAGGACAAACCAGTTATGGCCACACTATTCTCAGTGCATTACTTTGACACATCTACAGAGTTTGCCCTAGTAGTATTTGACAAGCCTTTGCTGGCATAGCCTGCCCGGTTTTTCCCTGCCCTGGGTCTGCCCAAGTCAGCAATTTACAACAGGGTTCAGTAGGCAGACATGCAAGCAGGGCTCATGCACACAACTGAACTACTACCAGCCCCTATCTGGGGCTACAAATAGGTTGGAATAAGTCTGTCTGGCAGCTAAGCTGGAATTTGCAAGTAGTTAAAGGGACCAGGTTTTGATTTGCTCAGATTAAACTCAAAACTGTATAGTGGAGATTGAATTAGTGGCCTCTTGGCAGGAATATGTTGATTGTGATCTGCCTGAATCCATTATGGTCAGAGTGAGTTATTGCAAAACGTTTGCTGTTGATAGCCATTAGTAAGAAAAGTGACCAATTTGGCTACTTAAAAGAAAATAAAACTGAAAAATATAAAGATAACACAAAAATATGACTTGTATATCAATAGACAATACTTCACTGACAATGAAATCTGCAGATTTTTTTTAATATTTTTATTATTTAACCAGGCAAATCTCATTGAGATCACAGAGCAGCCTCAGCCTGAAGGGAACTATTGTACATGTTTTTGTGCTGTGGGAGAAACTGGAGTACCCAGAGGAAACCCATGCAAGAACGAGGAGAACATGCAAACTCCACACAGAGAAAGACCCCAGGTCCGAACCGGGGATCAAACCCCGGACCTTCTTGCTGTGAGGCGTCGGTGCTARCCACTGAGCCATTGTGCTACCCAAAAAAGAAGGTCCTAATAATTTCTACCTCTAGCATTTTTTTTGTTGCCCGGTAAAGATTTTGAACAAAGCAGAAGTCAGTAAAATTTAACAATTTATTTAAAAAATACTAAGATTTTAGTGTATGAACACATGTTTACAGATGATAATATAAATAGTCAATCAAAGTTTAGACAACTGAAGCACCACTGGTTGTAGTTGGCACAAACAGCACAACTTGTAATGAGCTAACAGGTTTAAAGAATTAAAGGGTTCACTTTAACYGATCTAATAATGTTCGTGGTACAGTGGTACATATAAAAAGGCTCTGGCTATTTGAAAATGTCTTGGAATTGTCACCTAGGTTTCTAATGGATATGGTGTAAAATCTTAATGTATTTTTTTAATTTTTTTTTCTCAAGTTATAAAGTATGTAACCACAGTCCTATTTGTTTGTAGTGTTCTCTGAAAAAAAAACACAAACAATTGATTTCTTGTGTTTTTTCTTGTTGTGTGGTATGTTGATGTAGTTACAGGTTCTCTTTTTATTTTTTATTTTTTTTGCACATTGAAATATTTCTTAATGACGCCTGCATAAAAAGGAAAAGTATTGCATTGAAATAAAGCAAAGGGGGAAATTGCTCAGGAATGAGAGTTCCAGGATGTTTGTGTAATCATATTGCAGATCAGCTGGCTATTTAATGATTTAATGGGTGTAAAAACACAGGTCCAAAGTTCGCCTACCTCTTCTAATGTCTGTGTTTTGCTGGCTGGGAAGTCATGTCAGAGCTTCAGCTGACTTACAGCTAGATTGTAGTGACCTCTAGAGGATACCATGTGTAGACTGGCACAGCTGCACCAGACAGATATATTATCTACAGTCAACCGAACTCTGTTAYAATAAATAAAAGTGTCCGACATTATTATGTAAACTGAATTTGATTGATTGTAGCCTCTGCTCTGGCCCTAAGTTCCTCTTTTTTCTGTTTTGTGATTGGTGCAGAGTGCTCATCTGGCTTTGATAGATGCCTTGATGACAATAGGAGTCATGGAGACTGTGACTGCAGTGAAGATGTGCGATTCAGCTGAGCTGCTGGGTGGAGCTGCCAGATGGGAGGATGCTTTAATTCATTGGGTTAATGTGGTAAGMACCAGTTCAGAGGGAAGAAACTTGTTTTAAACATGTTGTAATTTGACAGAAATAACCCATTGTTTAGACATGTCATCAGCCCTGTGCTGCAAACAACCTAGCATCTGTTTAAGACACTATAGTTTTTATATCCTTAAATGATAGCATCCACTATGACCCCTCTATGTTTTCTAATCGTATTATGCCCTCAGTTAAACCAGAAGCTGAGGGAGCGGACCGAAGGAGCCCAAAACGACTCATCTCGGGACGCTGCAGAGCCCCAACCTGTTGAGCCCTCTGTGAGTATTGCATACACTTCAGACAGTATTACTCATTGGGGCTTTACTTTTATGAAATAAGACACAGATTTAAATGTAAGTTACATCTGCTGGCACAAACAATAGTAGGTGTGACCATAATTTTCTGATTGTTTTGGTGACCACATATGCTGTTGCAAAACCGGTTGCCTCAGGTGCAGCTGAGTGTAATATTCTAGTAGCAGCTTCATGGTGAGTTAGAGGGTGGAAAACACAGCCTCATTAGGTGGAGTCAAGGTGAGCTTTGATGACTAACAGAAGCAAGAGTGTGTGACGGGAAAATACTGTTCATTTCTGTGAGAGACTGTTAACTAGACATTTCTGTTTTTGCATATCTGAAACATTGTTTTGTTTTAAAGGTTAAATACTCAAGGCACTATAGAAATATATCAAATGATAAAAATAAATGGAATAAAAAGCTTCTTGATTAATTCCATTGCATTTGCCATTGCTCTGAGTTTAATAGTTAAGATATGGGTTTTGCTGTATAAAGCTCAGTCCAGAATGAAGCTATTTGCATATTTGTTGTCTCTCTTCAGGTCTACCACTGAAGAGTGAAAGGAAGCATATCTTCAATATTAGGCACAGTGATTTCATGTTTTTGGTTTACTACATTCACAGGTCTTTTACTCTAAGCTTGAGAAGTAACACTTTAAAACATGTGTTAGCACCAACAAAAGGCAACTGAATCAATACATTTCTTTCTATTTTTAGACAATGCTGTCATCACAACCCTCTCCAGTTTGTCTCGTTCTTCCACTGTTGGCTTAATATCTGTCCCTGTGCTCCTGTTCTCCATTTCCCTCTATTTCTATTTTCTATTATTTCCTGTTCTGCTCTGACAGTGTCCTACTCGCTGGTACTGGAAACTTGTTCCTGTAAGTTCCCTCCTTTCCTCTGCCTCCTCTCCCTATCCCTCCATCCCTTCAGTGTCTTCATCAAATCTGTCAACCAAAATATGATCAGGTCTGTTTTTTTTTAATTGCCCATGTCCTAGTTTGAGACTGCATTGTTTATCAAATGCTTGTCTGCACTGGATGACATTTGAGTTAACAGTGTTAAAGTTAACAGTGTTGCAGGACAGGGCAGATGCATTGATGTGGAAATTGAGTGGTGCATGACTCACAGTAAAGTAGGCATGGTKTCAAAATGCCATGCACAACTGGTTTCTCTGGCGTGTGTGGCAAAACTATGTTTTTATGGGGATTAACAGACATGCTTTTAGTGAACTGCTCCCTGCAGGAATTAGGGTGTTTGAATGATGCAATTTTACCTRAAATGTTTTCATTCTATCTGAGACATCTCATTTTTTCTCTCTTCCTGCTGAGACACTCAGTTGACCTATTTTCTCATAATTAAAACTCATTTTTGCTCCTATTSAGCAATTCCCTTTGCATCTGCCATTAGCTTATCTATATTCAATTTGTTTTAAATGCCCTTAGCATGAACTATTCTTTGTCCTTTTTGTCATTCATGCYGTAATTCTTAACATATGTTTCACTGTGTGAAAAATTTAGGAGCACTTAACTATTTTGTAAAAGCTTGACTTTGTTGGTTGATGTTAGCTTTGACTCGGATCAAATTGAAGTAATGTTTTACTATGGACATGGTGCTAATTTTTTTTCTTGTTCAATTTTGAAGCTCCGCTACAGAAAGGATAAATCTCAGTCCAAAGTGAAGCCCGTGTTTCCTGTAGTGAATGAAATGAAGGATCTGTCCAGTGGTTGTGCTGTTGCTGCAGTCATACATTACTATTGCCCAGGACTACTAAGACTTGAAGGTACTAACAGATATTTTTTTATTGTCATAAGAAGACCTTCTCAATAAAGAAGATGACTGTCATTTTAACATTTCCTTTTTCCTCCTGTAAGATGTTTGTATGAAAGACACCATGTCTGTAGCAGAAAACCTGTACAACCTGCAATTCATCCGTGAATTCTGTGACAGTTGTCTGAAGGGTTGCTGTCACCTAACACTCGAAGACATGCTATATGCACCGCAGGAGCTTCAGGTACTTCCACACCTTCAATTATTAATTAATTAATTAACTGAATGAAATATTATGTGATAACTAATTTATCATGTGTAAATTTTTAGCTCAATTTTCTGAGCTTCCTGTCAGAGCTGCTTTGGTGGTTTGAAGTACAAAGACCAGAATTTGTTCAGCCAGTAGACACTTTAGGTAAGTGTTGATTTATGGTCCTTTGCAAATGGTGTGTGATATTATCTGTAAGACGGGGCTATCCGACTGGCGGCCCGTGGGCAACTTCAGTCCTTTGGGGTGGGGTGTCCATCCCCTGAGCTGTTGGCTTTGAGTAACTGTGGCCCCTGTAGCAGTTTAGTTGAATAGCCCTGCTTTAAGATGACATTTTTTGTTTGATACGTGCTGTGTTTCCATTGTTTTTATGCACATTTTAACGTTAGAAAAGATTGATGGAAATGGCTAAATTTAAAAAGAAAATGCTCTAAATTTTGCAAAAAAAGTTTTCATGTTTGTTTGAAGTTGTTTTTGGATCTTTCAGAAAAGAGTTAATACGCAAAAGGGGAGATGGAAAGAAATTTGCGAAATAAGTTCTGACTAGTGAACATTTACCTCACACGATTGATCAACTGTTTTCGCTGTTGGCATCTACCCGAATATTCCCATTATGCGCAAAAACATGGCTGGAAGCAACATCATATGCATGTGGACTGACAGCATGTAACATTGCCAATACTAGTTGATATGACAGAACAATTACAACTTGCCCGAGATAAACACATTCTTGAAAACTCCTCTCCATTGTGCCGAGATGTGCTGTCACTGCTAGTTTGCAACCTCTACTTYTTGTTTTATTACAGCCATGTGTAACATCAGCATTTGTGYAGCCTGGTTGATTCACTCCAGACCAGTAGATGGAATGTGCATATTTTGCATTTCTATTTTTTATTTATTTTCTTTTTTGTGACATTTTAAAAGTTTGCTCAAAATTCACATTGCAGTTGGATGGAAACATGGCTACTGTCTAAATGTTTTGATTTTTCTTTTATAGATGAATCCTCCCCAGTGACGCCAACTAGCTTGGGTGGTAGCAGGTAAAGTCTTTCTAAATAAGATTTTGTTGTGAAATTGTCTGGCATATATTTGAACATTTGTTTTACCTAAAACAATATTTGTACACTTTACAGTACTTCCCCTTCAATATTTAAGAAGCCTTTCCTCCCAATTTCTACCCCTGCATCAGGTAAAAATTCCACTTTGTCAAGTAACAAAAATATTTTATAGTCTGATGTATCTTGTCCCTTTTAATATTTTTTTTAGTTATTTTGTGTCATTTTGATGTATTTTGTTTTAGTTTTGAATATTGAGAATGTTTCATAATTTCCATACCACTGGTGTTTTGTTTAGTTGCTTTGTGCATCTTTGTGTGCGTTTTGCATGCCTTTACATGTTTGTGTGTCCCATTGCACTCAGGATCTTTGACTCAGTCTACCTCAATGTCTCATATAGAAGGAGTTGGAAAGACATGGAGCAAGAAACCACTCAGGTCTGCACATTCAATAAATAAACCGTTATGGTTTATTTAAAGTTTATTGCACCTAAACTCGTTTTGTTTTCTTTGTAGCCGACCCTTGTCAGCAGTATCCTTCAGCATTCCCTTTGGCCTGGATAGTGACGTGGACATAGTGATGGGCAACCCTGTCATAACTCGCTCTGTGAGCTCAGATCATGTCAGTCCAGCAAGCCAAAACAAGACCCATGTACCCTACACTCCAGCTGAAGACCTCAGCCATTTGCTTGGTAAATCTCTTGGACCCGACGGTCCACAAAGAGCATCGTGGACCACACAGACTCCTAGTATTCCGAGGCTAGAAGAAGAGAATGGACTTGGATCAAGTGAAACAGGAGAGCTGCCTACCATAGAGGAGGCTCTCCAAATAATTCACAGTGAGGACAAGATGGAGCCTCGTTTACACCCTGATGGTGCTCCTGACGGCTTCTACCTCCACTCWCCTGATGAACCTGCTACTTCCAGATTTGACAACAACTTGGCACCCATCAGCTGCTCTGCGCCATCACACTCAGGAATGATGTACCAGCCTACAGGAGAGTCCAGGGAGCCAGTTCGCAGCAGGAACACCTCAGGATGTTCACGGGATGATGATTCAGTCTTAAGGGATGGCAGTGTGGATTCAGACGCCTTAGAAGACCTGCCCAAGGCCCAGTCCACTCCAAATACACCAGCTGCAGGTTCTGCTCATGGCCATAGTAAGGAGGGGACTGACAGTGGAGTGAAGATGACCAGCTTTGCAGAACGTAAAAAACGACAGAATATAGACTCTCCTAAAGCCAGCAGCCCGTCTTCTCAGATGACCACATGGGCACAAAAGTCTGAAGAAAGCCCAAGCAAGAACCCACAACTCAATAATGAAATGTCTGAGCTGGGGGCTCGGCTTGAAGAAAAGCGGAAAGCTATAGAAGCCCAAAAGAAACGCATTGAGGCCATTTTTGCTAAGCATCGCCAAAGACTTGGGAAGAGTGCCTTTCTGCAGTTAAAAAAAGAGCAGAATGAAGACGAGAATGAGGAAACGGGAGATGGTCAAGTTGGTGCCTTGTCTACAGAAGATGCTCTCTCAYGCTTAACTCTAGAGGAAAGGCTTGCTCAAATGGAGGAAGAAGAACAGAAGGAACAAGATAAACAGCGCCTCTCAGTGGAAAGTAAAAGTAACGTTAAAAGAGGACTTACGCCAGAGGTCAGTCAGACCAAAGCCAACATACCAGGAGAGAAAAGTTCTGGGACACCTGGTGAGAAAGTGGTTGCTCCTTTAGGAGATTATAATAATGCTGTGTCCAAGTTAACGGCAGCTCTTTCCTCCCTGCAAAGTGACATGCAGCGGCTGACTGAACAGCAGAATCAATTTATCAAGAAGAAATCTGAAACCTCCAGTAATAAATCCTGGGTTATTCCAGCCAGCCCTAAAACCTCCCCTTCAGCTCCTCCCCCTTCACGCTTGTCACGAGAATCCACTCGAGGCTTAAACTCAGCCGCCTCTTCATCACCTTCTCACAAAGTCTCCAACCATTCYGTTCCTCCAAAATCTCCTCAGGTTAATAGAAGAGCTCAGTCTGTACCCCCTAAAAGCCCAAAACACAGTCGTCAAATGGACATGAAGGTCCCAACCCTGTCCAGGGTTCTCACTCCGCCTCAAAATGTGGACCGCATCCCCCATCTTCGTCGAGTAAATCCCTCTCAGACTCAAGTCCAGACTTCACTGTCCTTCTCCATGGGTGACTCTGATAACCTGGGTGAACTGCGCTCCGCTGGGCCGAGTCCTGTTCCCACGCCTTCACTGACACCCTTACAGACTCCAACTCCACCTACTCTTCATGTAGCAGATGACGCCCAGTCAGATGTAGGCTCCATTGACGGACAAAGTGTCTTCAGCATGGACCTTGATGTTGGGGCCTCACAGAGCCCTTTGAAGAGGGATGGACTTGCAAGCGGAGGCTGCAGCTCTGGCGCCCCTTCAGAGTGTTCCTTTGACAGTGAAGCCCCTGCAGGGTTGGTGAACGGTAAACGCGGTAGTTTGATAGAAATCTCATTGTCTTCCTTGCGAGGAGATGCCGAAGAGGATGACCAAGTTCCTGACACTTTCTCTGATTCGATGAGTGACAAAATGGAGCCAGAATCAAAACCAGGCGTGGGGTTCTTTTTCAAGGTTTGCAGCTAACTTGGAGTATTTCAGCATATTTAATAGAAAAATGAAGTTTTTGCGAGTGTGCTTTTGTTTGTTTGTTTCTTCAGGATGACAAGCATCGACCAGAGGATGAGATGGCCCAGCGACGAGCAGCCTTACTTGAGAAACAGCAGAAAAGAGCGGAAGAGATGAAGAAACGCAAAATTGAGCAGGAGAAAGAAAAAGAGTCAAAGTAACATTTTAATATTCAGATATCTGTAATAATAACCAACTTAAGAGAGCCATAGCAAAAATGTCGTTCAGATAGTTTAATTAAATTTGTTTGTATAGGAGTAAAGAAATCTGCAGGGCTGATAGCACTCCAGCTCAATGCTGGATCTCTGGCTTAGCGTAGCTGTGGCAAAAAATAAATTTGACCAGAGATTTAACAAACTTTTCTCTGGACCTAAGAGGCGCAGCTGTCAATTTAAACACAGGTCTACCAGCCAATCAAAAACAGGGTGAGGGCAGGACTTGTCTCAACATCTGGACTTCAGGCTCAGGATTCTTTCCCACTATCAGCCCTGAATTTAGTTGCATATAAAAGATAATATAGATTTATTAGCGTACTGTTAAATATTTGACTGTCTCGTGTCTTTTTAATATAGCAAGATGGACATGATTTTGCTACACAAATGTCGTACATTCAGAAGTTTAACATCAAATCTTCCTGTCCATTTAGCAAGCCTCAGTGGATGATTATTGAAGGCTGGGGTAATAAGGGTGAAGACACACCCCAGACCTCAGACACCCCTCCAGCATCACGCACCCCGCCAGCAGAGGGGACTCCTCAACGTAGAGGAGACTTCACCAAGCAGGAGTATGAGAGACGACAGCAGTTGAAAATAATGGAAGATTTAGACAAGGTGCTGAAGCAAAAGCCCACCACAGTCCGTGGTGTGAAGAAGCAGAGGCCCAAGACTGTGTTCAGGGATGACTCCGTCTTGTCTAATAGCCCTGCCAAGGGTTTTATTGGTAAATTAATAAATCTGACATTTATTATCAGAATTGTTCAAGTTTTTATATATATATATATATATATATATATATATATATATATAATTTCTTCCATTTCTGTTGTTTTTGGTGCAGGTCCAAGGTTGAACAAGGTGTACTCTCACTCAACTATGAACCTATCCTCTATGGCTAATGACTCTGGAGGTCTGAGTGTCAGGAAATCTCCAAGGTAACCTGCATAGTGTTGATAGATGTATTTATTTAAAAAAGAGTTTGCAAAATGGATGGTGCATAATTTAGCCTTAAACGTTACTATGTGTCAAAAGTAAACTGCTTTCTTTTAAAAGGATCCACAATTAGTTTTAACATTAGACTTTATTTGATAAACATTTATTTTAACTGTAAAATAAAGACTGTAAAAATACTTTAGGCTGTTTAGTTTTTATAATTTTTAAAAGTATATTTTAACATGGACGGAGCCATTTTATTTACACACAAAGCATTCTGGGTAAATGATGACGTGGATAGGGCATTGGTGTGAGCGAGCTATATCCACCAATATCTGTGGACAATATCTGATGATCGACTCTTTTAGATGAAACCAGAGAGCRTTGACAGAGAGGAGAAGGTAGAAATGATTCAACCTGTAACTGAAAATATAGATGGAGGACAACAGAGCTGCTTCATGGAAGAAGAACCTCAGCTTAGCCTGTTAGCCTTCACACTAACGCTGATGCCATATTGCCTTATATGTATTAGCTTGACGCTAGCGCAACAAACTAACAAGCTAAACTGAGGTCCTCCATCCATATTTTCAGTTACAATCTGAGTCATTTCTACCTTCTCCTCTCTGTCAGCGCTCTCTGGTTTCATTTAAAAGAGCCAATCGTCAGATATTGTCGAAGATTAACCTTCGTGATTAACCACGTCATCATTTACCCAGAATGCTGATAAAATGGCCCTGTCCATGTAATATATTTTTAAACTTTTAGTTTAGAAATTATAAAAACTAAACCGTCTACAGTATTTTAACAGTTTTTATTTTACAGTTAAAACATGTTTATCAAATAAAGTCTAATGTTGTAAATGTAAAGTTTGTCATTTTGTAGAATTGAGCAATTACATCACTGATGTCAATAATTTATTGAAACTTGARGGGTGTGCAATAAACCACTCATGTTTAATATGCAATTTTGTTTATTGATCTGTAATTACAGATGCTTTGGGAATTGCTTTCATTATTTTTAGGTACACTGGTGTATGTGAGATCTAACTTCTAGCTTATGTTAGTAACTTACCTTTTTTTTCCTTCCTTAGCCGTTCACACTCACCGTCCCGGTCACGGCTAATGTCACCGGGGCGAAGAAGTGCTCAGAATGGAGAAAAGGACTGGGAAAATGGTTCCACTATTTCCTCTCCCTCCTCTATCCCAGAATACACAGGTTAGTGATAAGTTGCATACCAACATATTCTTAAATTAAAGCATGTAAGCAYTGTTTCTTCCATGTGTAAACATTGTTTTTTGCAGGACCAAAGCTGTACAAGGAGCCAAGCTTTAAGTCCAACAAGTTCATCATCCACAATGCCATCACTCGCTGCTGCCTGGCTGGAAAGGTCAACGAACCACAGAAAAACAAAGTTGTTGAGGTGAGCGTTTCTGTTGCTTCACAAGTTAACTAAGAAGTTCTGACCACTGTGGCTATAAACATACTTGTGTACTGTTATTTTCTTTTTTGCAGGAAATGGAAAACAGCGCTGCCAATCACTTCCTCATCCTCTTTAGAGATTCCAGTTGCCAATTCAGAGCAGTGTATACCATGAACCCTGAAACTGAGGAGATGGTACGGCTCACTGGTATTGGACCTCGAGTCATCTCGCTTGAGATGGTCGAGTCCATTTACAAGTACAGCTCTGACCGCAAGCAGTTCACCGCCATCCCGTCCAAAACTATGTCCATGAGTGTCGACGCCTTCACTATCCCTGGACACTTTTGGCAGAAACGCCCAGGAACTCCCAAAAAACTTAGCACCCCCAAATAAAGACTCACTGAAAATAGGTTAAAGATGCTACAATTCAGGAAATCAACTCTCAGTTTAACTTGTTTTTTGTTCTATAGTTGGCTGTGTGTGGCACTTCAGATTGTTCAGATAGGCTAGCAGCAGAAAGCATAACTGACCATCTTGGCTTGAGAAAATTGCACATCGGTCAATCAGCCAATGTATTTACAATAACATTATTGTCTGAGCTTTTGACAGGCTCTGCATGATTTACTCAGATTGCAAAATATGATGTAGCTGGTTCAGTTAGGAAACATAATTCCTTTTCCCATGCCTCCTCATGCCTTGCCTTACCCTGCCATGCTGGAGTCATGTGACTTTTAGGTAAGAAAAACTGGGGATAACCACACTGCCTTTGCTCACAAAACAGTAGTTTGGGCATTCGTAGTTCACCTCTCTGCTGTACTTGCTTTTCCTTTTGCTGCCTTTTCTTCTTCCAGGGCTCACGTCTACCAAGACAGAAGGCTCAGATCTCACTTCTGACTGGAGATCTCAGCTGGCAGATAATACTGCTCTAATATGAATGTAGGCCACATACTAACCACTTGGTCATTTCAGGGGTGTTTTCACTGTATAGTTCAGTGTAGAGGACACCATAATTGCTGGTCCCTAYGGGCTGCACCAGTGGTGGCTACTTTGGTTCCTGGTGGATGTGTACACCCAGAAACTGCTTGTGCCCCATAGTTTGTGCACCCCCACTCAACTGTCCTTCAGATGTAGACATCTGGATGTTTTTTATATACTTTTTTGACATGGTTTTGCCAGATATGGTGATTGAGTCTTTGAGAGCTGATAGAAGTATGAAATTTAATGTGATTTTTTTTTCCCTCACTGTTCATGCTTTCTCATTGTCTTTAAAATAACATGAAGGAGAGCTTTATCATGTTCAATACTTGGATACTGCTCTTTGAGAAAATGATAATCAATGCTGGTTTAATATATACTGAATGCTGATTACTTTTTTGACAATGATTTGTAAAAAAAAATAGGTTGACTTTTTGTAAGCTACAAATAAGCTAGGCTGCTGCTTAATCATTAGTGAGAAGTGTGTTTGAAATGTGAATGAATGAGAATGAGTAGAAATTGTTGATAAACTGAAGAAAAAAAGTTTGATTTAGGATGAATAAATCCATGAGGTCAGAGTCTGTTTCCTAATGTGTTTTCCCTGTTTATATGTCCTAACATGTAAACAGTAGGTTTCTTAATGAAGGATCATTCTGGACTGTAACAGCCCTCATCTATTCCACAGTCCCTTCACACTCCTTCATGTACAACTGGGGGGGCGATGTAAAACGCCAAAAGGTTTTCTGTTTTCTTTTAATTTCCTGACTCTAGTTTCTAATGACAAAATCAATGTAGGGAGAAAATCTAAGAAATGTATCTATTACGTTTTCTTTAGTCTTTAGGATAACCTTTGCCACAACACAACTGTATTTTTAGAATAACTGCCTCCAAGAAATGTGGTGTTTTCAAGGTGACTTCCATAGTAAATATGTTTAAAACGCTAATGAGGATTAAAGAGTTGAATGATTGCTTAAAGGTTTTTGTGGAAGAGTGCTTGTGGAGTAAGTGGATGTTTATTCTGGTATTTGTAAAAGTTAGTATGTGGTAGTAAACACCGCACTTTGATTCAGTGCAATTCTTCCCGGAAATCCCCCATATCATCCAGAAATGTATTTATTCGTCATTGAATTGTGACAAACTTGTTTTAGTTTGTTTTGGTTTTCCTCTTTTATTTTCTTAAGATTACGTGTCAAATTGTCATTTCATAGATGTCATGTTGATTTTGTTTTTCCTTTGTTTTCCAGTCTGTGCCAGCACATTATGTATGTTCATTTCATCAAATGACTGTCCTCGGCAACTGGACCAGTAAAATAAAATGTTCCTTTTTTAAATCATCCACATCTGTTTTTCATAACCTTTTTTTAAAAGTCATGCATTTTTATGTTTAGAATCATAAATGGGTGAAACTGGTTTGGACACTCTTTTATTTGCAAACAAATAACCTGAAAAGAGATTATTTTGTATTAGCTGAGTTCCACACACACTTTACAATTCAGACACCAAGTTAATTTAATACTAATTTTATTATGGATGGTTTTTTTTCCCCCTCTTGTTAAACAGTTGGGCTTGTAAGAAAAACCTTGATGTTACTTGGTTCTTAAATCACATAACACTGCGAGAGATGATGGGCGTTTATGATAATACTGTTTATAAATGCCTTTCTAAATAGTGGCACAGAGTAATCACATATTGCCATTCAAAGATGTTTTTGGAGCCCGAAAACATCCCCTTACTTTTTACATGTGAAATGAAACTGGATTGTTGTATCTGTAAGAAGGAAAAAAATGTGCCCAGCAGCAAACTAGGGCCACTCTAGTGTCAGACTTCAACATTGTTTCAGCTATGCTTGGCATGCAGCATCTCTGCAAGTAGAGAGTTGCAGGGCAAATCTCCAAGAAGGTGGCGCTGGTACAAATAGTCCTCAACCTGCAAACTAATGCTGCGAACCTCAGGTAGTCGGAGAAGCAGCTGGCCAAACTTGTCTGACTGTCGTGGATGATTGCGCTGGGTGTGCTCCATTAGAGCCCTGTTCACCCTCTCCTGAGTCTGCTCCACTTGTCTCCGGCTTTTCACCGACTTCACATCTTAAACACAAAACGAACAAATGCACACTTAAAAACTTTAGGAACCCTTTTTTTTGTCAAAGTTTAGTAAATAAGGTGTTAACGTCAAAAAGCTCAGTTTGATTTTCTTTTGCATCACAAATATAGCTGTTTCAGTTATCAAAAGAATCTCACCTGGGTTGAAAAGAACAAGGTGTTTTAGACAAACAAACTCATGTCTATCAAAGTGAAGTGCCTTAAGTTTATATACAAGATCCTGGGTTCTCGAGACCAAGCTACTAAGTGTGGCTCCAGCCTGGGAGGTAATAGTCGACACCTCGATCTGCATCAGGATGAAGCATATATATTTGAAATTTACTTCATTTGAATGTGCCCAAAAATCCAGCATTTTCTCTGGCAATTGTACTTTACCTGCTGACCAGTGACCAGGTATATACAGCCCTCTTTGCCATAAGTGACTTGTCTACAGAGGTGATCCAGAACCATCAGCTCACTCCAGCAGCTTTGCAACAGCACCATCTGATCCTCAACCTGTGGGAAACATAAATATGATATAGAAGAGCAAATTTTGTTTGTCTCATTAGTAAGTAAAAAGTAAATCATAGTACAGCAAAACTGTTAAAAATGTAAAAATATTTGGGAGTGTTTTTCACCTTGAGCTCCTTAAACAGACTACTGTTTCTGGCCCACTCCACGAGCCCAAACAGAGTCTGGTCGGCCATTTTGCACATGATGCTGAACGTATTTAGGCGGTCGTGTTTCCCTCGGTTAGCCTGCTCTTTCTGCAGACTAGCCAGGACTTTGGCACACAGCTGGGCCTCGTCTTGTTCACCTTTCAGGAGCTGACTAAGGAAGCTGGGAGCAAGGGTGGCCGATGGAGGAATGGTTGGAACCTGGGGGGAACCAGTGGCTGAGCTTGGTACCGGACAGGGAGAAGATGCTAGCGTGCTTCTTGGTGTGAATAAATAACTTGTGGTCGAATGCACTGGATGGTGTGCGGGAGTTGGGTTGTAGCTGAAGCCCATTTCTCCTTTGTCCTGTGAGTGTCCAGGGAAGGTGCAGTACAGTCCATGACAAGACACGGATGCAGGAGTTAGCACACTGTGATTGTTCATTATGCAGTCCAGTTGCGTGGGTTCACCTGACTGTCCCATGCCAGACGGATGCATAAGGTGGGAGAGATGAAAGGCACTAGAGGACGAGGGCCCACTTGTGTGGCTGCCTCTCTGGTGAGGATCATTTGGAGACTGGGGACTTGGTGTTTGTGTAGTTTCCATCTTGATCCTGTAGGGATCAGTGTTTGCCCTCTGCTGTTTCATCTGCCTGTCCCGCCTGTATATTGGTCCAAATTTATTCCTGCCCCCTCTCATTCGGTCTGCTCTCACAGCTGATGGCAGAACACAAAACACATTTTGATGGATTTATCACAACACTTGAGTATTTGCCAGATAGATGCAGGTATGAAAGCACAAACAAGGGAACCCACTGATTGGACTGTACTAAATAATTAGATGCAACTCCCATTTATTACTTTATAGATAAGTCATGAGGCAGAAACGAAAAAGCATGTCATAAAGAAGCGAAACACAAGTTCAAAGACATAAAGATTATTTGTTTTTATGCATTGGAATTGGTGGAAGTTTATTGTACCTTCTCTCTTCATGCCGACAGCCAAACACTTCTGGAAGCGGCAGAAAGGACAGCGTTTCCTCTGAGAAATGTTCATTGGGCAGCTTTGTTGTTCTGCACAAGTGTAGTGTTTGTTATTCTGCACTGAGCGTTTAAAGAAACCCTGCATGAGGAAGAGAGACTGATCATTGATTCTTTCTATTTAAACTACCAGATATTAGTAAAAGTAATGTTCGATACTACCATTTCTTTTTCCGATACTGATACCAAGTAAAACTCAGGCTGGTATCGGCGATTCGATACTGATACTTAATGCTTTCTAACCCTAACCRTATCATATTTGTTTAGCATTATTTAATATTCCTCTGCTAAACAAATGCAATATATTTTTTAGAATGGAAAAATTTGGGAACTCCTCATCTACAATGTAATGACAGACAGTCAGACAAAGATGATTTTATTTAAAAATGACCTGCCATACATTTAATGTCTACAGACTGAGTAACCGACTGAGCATGTGCCCACTGCGCTACACATCCCCAGAGCACAAGAAAAGGTAGTTCCCTCCAAATGTTTCAATAATTTAGTTATTTCCCACTGTTTTCTTGTTAATGACATACATTACCCAAAATGACTGTAGTATCAAATTATCTATATTTTGATTTTAATATCGATTCAAGAGCATAAAGTTCTGGTATCTGTAGTATCAATATTTCAGTTTCAATCTGCACATCACTAGTCTAAAGCGAACATTTAATTGTATGTTTCTACCATATGACAGCGAGACAAATTGTGTCTTCATTCAGAACCACACTGACAACACCTTATTCCTTACCTTACAGCTCTCACAGGTAAGCAGCCCATAGTGATATCCTGATACTTTGTCACCACAAACAGGACAGTTCTCCTCTGGCTCTGAACAACTGGCTGCCTCAGTCTTTTGTTCCTGAACTACAAAACAAAATCAGTCAGGTCAAATGAAAGAAAAAAATAACATTGCAACACATACTATAATTCAAGTGCAAACCAATTTGAGAAGACAAGAGATACTTGTTCAATGTGTACTTTATATATAAAGTTATGAACTACTAAAAAATATGTAATGATAAGGTGATTTGTGTGTGAGCATGTTGGAGATGACACCTTTCCAACTTTGATCTAAATAACAGTAATATGTGGAGGCACTGCACCAAAAAGTTCAGATATCTATTGACATACTGTGTAACACAAAAAGAAAGTGCTTTGCTTTCAACATAATAAAGGTGTTATGCATTAAGATTTATAGCTCAGCTGTTGAATGGTGAACAATAGGACACCATCCCTCTATTTCAGACTACCTTATCGCTCAACCTGATTTATTTGGCTGTGATTGCAGATATGACCCTTACATAATTCCCAGAACCAGTCTACCTAAATGAAAGACTGAAACACTAAGATAAATCCCTTTTAAATGTATTTTACTCTATATGATGTTTTTCCAATAAAAGTGTGTTGCAGCAACATGTAATAAATCTTTACAGACATTAATATAAATAAGTCATTCTTCCAGAACATGGTCTGTTACAAACAGATACATTAAGGGGAAAATTAACATTTGTGAAAAATGTTTCTTTAAATTTAATATATTCTATGATATTCCCTTCTGTGTACTTACATGTTGATTCCTCCGATGCTAACAGATCCTCTKGATAGTTACCAGACTGGTGGATTAGTGGCTGGGATGGTTGTGGGTAATAAGCAGGTATGTCCATTTTAAGGTGGGACATGAGCTCCACTGTCAGCTCAGCTGGATCTTCATTGTTGCAGAGTTTAGGAGACCGGACAGACACAGCAGGAGAGCCAGAGAAAAGCCAGGAGGCGGTCAGGCCCAAAAGCTCAAATGGACTGACGCTTGTTCGAGGCCCACATCTGAACTTTGATCAGTTGTGAGCGTCATAAAACCTCTCCTGACTGGCACTCCTAACCAGTCAGTGTGTCAGCAAGCTGGCCAACCAGCCCTATCACAGGAGACAAACAGCCACCTGCTGGAATCTGACTGTAGTGAAATGACTTTAGTATCACGGAACAGTTCTGACGCTCAGCTGATAAGATAAGAGTGCACTGATGAGCACCACTTCCAAACCTCACTCTGATTTCAACAGAAAATCTGGATTAATTAAAATTAAAATTTGTTAAAAAAATTTGAAATTGTTTAATTTGTATTAGTTACTGTCTGAGGAGTTAATTTTTTTTGTTTTTATCATTTGGTTTATCATTGTTTAAAATATAAAAAAAACTTTTAAAGGAGCAGATATAAGAATTTTTTTCTTCTGCTGCTGCCTTTCATTTTATTTTATTTTGTATTGCTTTGTTGTGTGTGAAATGTTTTGTTTGTTTTTTTAATGAAATGAATAAATGAATTTGACTTGACTTGAAAACATTCACTTACTCTCAAGTGAATGAAGCAAAGCCATTTTCTTTATTTCATCTTAATTTCATCCACCATTAAAGACAGACAGGAAAAAACCAAGAAGCTCCTCCCATAAAAACATCTTCAGACGCGCATCTAGTCTTGTTCCAGTCTGAATGTAGCGCGTCCAACTTGAGGCATTGGGTGCATTACATGCTCAAAACACATTCAGTGTGAACGTAGCTTGAGAGCTGATGTGTCTTTTCATATGAGGCCTTCCTATCTGCAGAAACAAAAGTTGGTTATGTAGGGGTCACCTCGAGTCAAATTATCAAGGAACTGTCTTGGACTCTCAGTCCTCTGATGGGCCTTCTA